AATATTGAGGGTCCCCTGAAATGCAAAGCACAGGGCGAAGGGCTACAATCTAATTGTACTGAAAATAACAACAACAACAAACAAACAAACTAGTCTCCAAAAATCTTACACTTCAACGTCATACAACAGGTGAATAACTTTCTGGTATTCTCCAGATATTTGTCTGATGATAACAGTAGTGGTACCCCTTGTTTCATGTCTAGCCTGTATTTCTGACTGTTCCTGGTCAATCTACTGTTCTGACCATTTTTTCATGATCTCCAATAACATTATATTTGTGTGTTATCTTAATAATAATGCTTGATAATTTTCATATTGTGCTCGATTATCTTTGTGGAATGCGTATTTAAGATTGATTCCAGATAGTTGATCAAGCTGTTATCTTTGAAACTGGTTGGCATTGACATGGGAGCTTTTTAATGTTTCATACAATTTTTGAAAAACTTGTATTAGTATTGTGTCAATTCCTGGAACCTTGGTTTTGGCTGTTGCCATAAGTGCAGCTTGAGCATCTTTCTTCAATGCCATTAGTTCTTGATTTTTTTTTTCCCTCCTCAAATGACTGAATGTCAACCAATGTTTTTAGAAGAGTGATTGTGTATTCTTTTGAAGTTTCCTACTTCACTCCATAAATTGCCCATAGAAACCTTTAACATTGCAACATGAGGCTTGAATTTCTCTTTAGTTCTATGAGTTTATGAAATCCTGAACATCCTTTCCTTTTGGTTTGCTACAGTTCACTATTTACTTTACCTATTTGTTTATAACCACCTTAGAATTTTTGTTTGTTCTTTACCTAATCATTTATTCTATTCATGTTAGGTAACCTACACTCAATAGCAAGTTTCCGAGGCTATTCTGACATCCATGTTATGTTCTCTTGTTCTTGTCTTTTTAATGTTGCTTTCTTCCTGTTGACTGTTCTTCATGTCACTGTCCCACTCGCCTGACCTTCAAATAGTAATGTGCACTGCACCAGATCGATTGAGAAGAAAGTGCCCAACTTAAAGTCAACTCCATTCAATGGAGGGTCAGCAGAGAGAGGAAGCCCTCAAAGAGGAAGAATGACAAAGGGGCTGCAACAATGGCCTCAACGAGAACAACAATGACATGGATGGCGCCTTTCTTTCTGTTGTTAGAGGGTCACTGTGAGCCACAGCGGTCTGGACCACATCTAAAACCAACAACTTGCTCCAGATAGTCAATTGGCCTCGTGGACTTGTTTTAATTTTCTTCAATTTCAACTTGAATTTGCAATTGGACAATTGATGGTCTTTTTTGTACCAGGCTCTTAACATTGTTCTGACTAAGGATACTGTTTATCCATTATCCACAGATACAGTTGATTTGCGTCCTTTCTGTTTAATATGGCAAGGTTTACCCTTATGTTGCTGAAAAAAGGTATTTCCAACAAATAAGTTATTAGTCTTTCACAATTCTACCTTATTATTTCATGTGTCATTTTTATCACTAAAGCCATATTTCCAACTATAGATCCTTCTTTTTGGCATTCCAATCACCAATAATCACCAATGAATCCTGACTGAATAGCTGATCAATTTCAGCATATATTTGAATAATAGTCATAGAAATTGGTCTTCCTTATAAACATATGGTCACTATCTTAGCGCTCCCAATATTCTTTTAGATGTTTTAGATCAGTGGTTCTCAACCATCCTACAGCCGCGACCCTGTAATACAGTTCTTCACACTGTGGAGACACCCAACCATAAAATTATTTTCATTGCTACTTCATAACTATAATTTTGCTACTGTTATGAATGGGGCAACCCCTGTGAAAGACTCATTCGACCTCCAAAGGGGTCATGACCCTCAAGTTGAGAACCACTGTTTTAGATGATGAAGCCTGCCATAATGCTTTAACGTGTCATTCTGGCTTAGCAGTCCCTATGACTGTCCAATTCAGACTAGCCAATCTCAGTCTATTTAAGCTCATTAAAACTTAGAATATCAAACTTTATCCATTACATTTAATATTTGACATCTCCCATTTTTTCTAAACTCGTACTTTACACATTCCACATTCTAATTAATTACTAATGGGTATTTGAATCTCTTTCTTCTCAGGTTGAGTTTTGTCATTCATTGAATAAAAGTACTGAAAGTTTTGCTATAGGTAAGTCATTAAAGTAAACACTAATTCCCCAACCATGTTTGAGTGACTTTTAACGTGAGGTGCTCATTTTCCAGCACGATACCAAAAAATGCTCCATTACTATTCATTAAATTCTCCTTTGACAATTTGTTTGTAGAGTAGTTGAATTTTTCTTAGCCTTACTTAGACTGAGAGTTCACTGGACCCCGTAGACGACCCTGCTGGCATTTGGAATCCCAGTAGCACCACTTCCAGCATTACAACCACCAGATTCAGAAAAACTGACATGTGAGTGGTAGGTTCCCTGTTAAGTCATAATTAATAATTCATTAGTCCAACTATATTCCTATTCTTATCATGAGAATTCTTAAGATACAAGAATAAGTTAACACAAAGATATTTTTAGTTCTATTTATGGGATCCCTGTTTGACATTAGTAATTAAGATTTTGACTAGGAACCCAGTGAGGTTAAGAAGCAAGACCTGATGGACCATCCATGAAAAGAAACAAGTGAGAAGTCTATGGAGCAGAGTTCTACCCTACCCACATTGGTATGTCTTAAATTGGGATCAACTCCAAGGAAACTTTTTTCTTTGTTTTTAATTGTATTGATACATTCCTACAAAATTAACTCTAAACACCTATATACAATATATATACATGAAGATTTTCTTTTTAGTCACACAGACATTAGAGAAAATAAAGCTAATACTGGATCATTTGTTATACTCTTTTGACAGATCGAAATATGGACAGGAAACAAAATAAACAGTTGAAATAAAACAACAACTACCATGAAATAAATCATGTCCGATATTTTCATTTGTATACTCTCCTACATTCACAAAAATCTGGTAAACTTATTCTCAACTGTAAAAATTTTTAGAAAATAGGATTTCAATGTAACTGCTAATTTAAAATCATACTATTATCAACTACATAATTACTGACATGTATTTAAACAATGGACCAGCATCAGCAGAAAATAACCATCCCATATATCAGCATCCAGGTTTAGCATCTACTCCTCCAACCCCCAGACCCCCTATGAGTACTAAGACTATGGAATTGAAAACCTTAAGTCGGGGGGTGGGTGGGGGGTGGGGTGTAAAATAATTTTTCATGGTGCATTTTCCTCAAGGAAAAAATTGTGGACTGCCATATTTATGAATTATTTATTCCATTTTGAAAATTTACTAAACATACATTAAATTATGTTATAGTAAATGCAAATGCAATGAAATCATTTTTTACACCTTTAGCTCATATTGTAATGAAATAGAAAATTATACGGGAAGCCATAAGATATAAAGAATAACATATTTTACAGTGTAACATATGCTAAGTTCTGGGCTAAATTCTAAAGAAATTTTCTAATTTAATTCAAGCACAAAAATATCTATAGAGCAGATAATACTACAAACACATGTTCTGCACCTAGATGTTCAATCCAATTCTGTGCAGCATCAGCACTGTTTATCCAGAGTGCAAATCCACCATTCGCCTGCCAGTTTGTGATTCTGGAACGTCACCAGGTTCCAAATATGAGTCAGGGCAGCCATAATGGGCAGATTTCCGTGGAATTTCCTGAAGGAGCCAGACTCGGAAGCAATGCCTCACAATTAACTTTCAAAAAGCAGCCAGTGAAAACCCTAGGAATCAGAAGATACTGTTGGCTATTCCATCCTCAAATGTGAGGCCATGGGTTGGAAGTCACTCAGAATACACACTGGCGACAGCAGTGGACTGGAGCACACCAAGGATCGTGAAGATGGCCTAGGGACCTTCCACACTTCGTTCTGATGTGCACTGGCTTTCTTTGAGCGGAATTCATCCAACAAGCAACAAATAGCAATTCCAATGTCAATCACGTTTGGAAGAGCTCGGAGAATGAGCTCCACCACGAAAGGTGATTTCCATTGTTAATTAAGTTTGCATTGTTAATTAAGTTTGCATTGTTAATTGAGTTTGACTACATTTAGTTAAAACTAGAAGAGCATTTTCATATGACATATTTTCTATTTACAACGCAATTGGGGAAAAGT